CTTAGACGAAATTATATTAAATATAAATTGTGTCAGATGTGTGCAACCAGTCCGCTAAAATGGTTCGAATTGTAAACACTCAGCACCAGTCCAGGGTTGTAAAAAAGAAACCTGTAAACTCCAATTGCGGATCAGACTGTGAACTTATGACCAAATAGAGCACTTGAAACTGACCTGGTCAGACCACGACGAAACTCAACAATTTTGTCGCCCTGGGGAATGGAGAACACGCGAATTACGGTACCTTTTTCGGACGCGGTAGCCAACAAGGTAGCACTTGAATTGAATGCGAGTGCAGCCAATAGACCGTCATGGGCGGCAATTGAGGTCACGTTCTGCAACACAGGTTGGAAGGCGGTCATGCGAGAATCCCAAGCAGACTCCATAAGTGAATATGTGTATCTCAACAACAACAACAACAACACCATGCAATCAATCTGGTTTTGGCAAAAAATACGATAAGTCCAAATTGCTGTGGGGCAGACTGAAGTCTTATGTTGAAATTGTGGAAAGTCCCGTAGCCTCAGTGGGATTCGAACGCATACATACACGCCACGTACGCTTTTGTACAGCGCACGATCTACCAGCGGAGTTAGTATTTGATTTCCAGACTGGGTGCAACGCTGACCACCACTAAACATTATTTAGAAGGTCACCTCCGAAGGCCTCAGTACAGTCCGGAGTGGGAGAAGAGGAAGCCCTCATTATTGCTTTTCCATGGCAGGAGTTGTTTTCCCACCAGAGTGAGAGAACGAAAAGCCAACATCCGGGACTAGAACTGAGTGACTGAACTGCTGGTAGTTTGCCTAGGGGCGTGGGCTAAAAACCCTGATTCCAAACCGACCAAAAACAGGCGTACGAACCACAAACACACCTTCCTGGTACTGGTCACCGGCTCAATTGGGCATCGAGGTGTACTGGGCGCCTTTGACGTTTGACCCCGTCCAAAAGGTGTATGATTCGACGAACCGGACACGGGTTCCCAATGGATTGCGGTTTACACTATCCGCCCCGTTGTGTTGCGAGTCAGGCTTTGGTTAGCCTCCAGTTTTGATGTCCCCAAGAAAATTCGCATGCCTTGGCCTGAACAACCTGGCAGTAATCCGCCTACATGCAAATCAGGGAACTTTTTTCTTTTATAAAGATTATTGTACCGTGATTTCTTTGGCACCCAGTATGGACTGTGTGGGTGTATATATATATATATATATATGAACAGAAGTGTGGGGACCCCTCGACCATCGAATCAGCTGATGCCGAGGTAGCCAGACGAAAACTCTAGTACTACCTACGTGACCTTGTACATTCCTAAGCTCGTTTTAAACATAAATAACCTTAGAAAAGATCACACATAGGGAAAGTCTATACGGTGACACGGATAACATACGCGGTCCATGGCGTAATCCGGGAAGGCCCAAGACCTCCGTGTTTTTTTAGGTGCTTTGCGTTTTTGCCGTTCTGAGTTATTCATTCATTCTTAAAATCAGCAAGTCTATCCAGCCGGTGGGCGATTATGTGAAAAATCAAATCGAACAACAGATCATTCTGAATTTTACTAAACGGCTGTTGTATGCCGACTTCCACGATTACACGATTACGCCAAGGTCGTCCATACTTCTTTTGCACTTATCACCCTGGTGTCATGCTGGGTACATTATCTATGGGATCTTAACGTTTTGTGCATAAATACTCTGATTCAAATGAACCGCACTAAGAAATCTGCATCGAAGCCGAACTATAACCCTGTGCGCATTGGGAAACTTGCTCACTACCTAACCTATCGCAAGTCATCTCCTGAAACAGTTATTACATCCATGAATTATAATAAATTATAAATTGAACCGGGTATGGTGTTTAGCCTTTAGGGCCCGAAATACACGCTCCGCAGGCCTGCTCGAAGAACAGCTAAGGCATATGAAGTACATGCACTTTTCGAAATGGAATATGCCAAAAACAAACTAGAAGACCAGTTAAAATGCGGAGCAAAAAACCTTTTGAAAGAAGATATGAGCAACGATTTGGTCAGGGGACGATCGGACTAGGGCGAACATGTTTCGCCGATATCTCACGTCCGGTCAACGCACCTTGCGCAACGCTTAAGGATCAACTGTCCGTCCACATCTCAGTCATGGTGAATTGTTCATTTACTTGCACTGATAAAAATTTAGGTAGGTCGTACGACAAGACAGAAAAAAATTCAAAGGCGTCAAACGACAATACGTATCCAATGTGATTGTGGCCCGTCTGGTGATAAATAACCACCAAACACCAATTACACCAATTAACTAAGCGTTGGAAAACAAATCGAAATCAATAAGATACTACTTAGCAATAGCAGAAGCAAATTCAACTCAAGTTATGAACTGGGCCGTATGCATACAGATGACTGGCCTTGAACCACAACAGCTAACGGTCTTGACGCGATCACAATCACAAATCGCAAGTGAAACGAGACTGACGCAATTACCCAAGTTCTCGAAAATAACAGTTCCTCTCCTCCTATCCTTATACATGCCCCAACAACTTGACACGTAAACTTGTTTCGCAGTAAATCAATCACGTACACGTTTATCATCTGATGAAAAAAGTACCGAAACAAATCTGAGCAGTATACCCTGTTGAGTGGTTTTGATCGAAGTGCTGGAAACAAACTGGTTCAGATACAGTTGGTCAATCAATCCTCGTCTTTGTTCTGTACAGTAAAGCAAACCATGTGTTTGGGGTCTCATGGACCAATCTGTAGAACACTAGACTTTTTACCACTGATAAAAGTCCCCCAGTTCACTTTCTTCCTTCAACACCACCACTACCACACATTCATACACGTTCCGAGGCTCAGGAAGTAGGCTATGGATGCATAATAACATAAAACATATGCGCCAGACTGAGGCTCGCATCGTCACCTGAAGAAGTAAAGAAGCGAGGTGTGTGTGTGTGCGTGTAAATTAGGGAAAATGACAGTGTTGTATTCCCATGTCCCGAGAAACTGGTTTGCATTTCACTCATCAACGGAGGCGTCCAAGAGACGTAACCGATTTTTTTACCGGCCCCAATTCTCGTGATAGGAAAATGCAATGGTGGAATCGTACATCGGGGGACTGAGGACCATAATAGATTATTTCAAGGGATAAGCAAACTTGCGTAACCATGGCCAACGTACCTGAAAGTTTAACGCGTCAAATATAAACACCGTTCCGACTCGATGTGATCCGGGATAGGCCAGGTAACAATTGTCCTCCGCGGCTGACAAAGCCAACACACCGTTTCGGTTCGGCGGAGTCTCTTCCACTTTGTGAAGCATTTGCATATCACGAATATTGTGAATGAAAATTCCATCCTCAACACAAACAACCAATCGCTGAAAAAAAACATTTACAGCGGAGGGNAAAGAGAAATGCATATAGCACAAAATTCGAGAACAGTGCTAATATATAGATCCCATTTTTCACACTAAAATTGACTATTTCCCCCTATTTTTCTAATTATTTTTATAAAATTTTAATTTCCCGGATTTTCGCACCTGGAAAGACTCATTCCGCACCACCGGCCATTCTCGACCCTCATTGGTCCATTTTTCTGTGACTCACAACTTTCAAGCTAATTCCCAAGGTGACCGGTCCCCAAATTGTATATAAACGGATGAGTTGCCCCGTTTTCGCCGCCTCTTTGGTCGAGCCAAATAAACAGACTCGCCTGAAGACCTGCTTGCTTTCCTTCTTCTTCTTCCTGGTCGGGTTCCGGGGGTCGTACTGGTCNNGGGTCGCCCCTCCGGTTACTGTCCGGTCGTGTCTCTCTTTTGGGTATCACATTCGGCCCTATGGAATCGCTACTCTCTCGTTGGGTCCCTTGGGTTCTGTTCGTGGGTCTCTACTGTCACACGTATCGCTGGTCGGGGCTCGTGTAATCCGGTCGTTTCGTTCAGCTCAACGTTACAACATATTTACAGACTGGGTACTCAGTGAATGCCACACACAAAATGTTCAACCTCGACCCCGACATCAAGCGTCTCATCCAGTCGCAGGCTAAGATTATCAAGGCGCTAGGCATGTTGGGCCAGCCCGCTCCCTCCCGCCATTGGACCACTACGTCCGAACAATGACCGAGTTCGTCTACGATCCAGATGTTGGCGTCACCTTCGAATCCTGGTACAGTCGATATGAGGACATGTTCACGGTCGAACTGGCCAATCGTGGGGACGATGCTCGGGTTCGCCTGCTTCTCCGGAAACTTGGTCCGGCAGAGCACAGTCGCTATTGCAACTTCATCCTTCCGGGTGAATCCCGTTCCCGTGATTTCCCCTCCACTGTCGATACCCTCGTCAAGATCTTTGGCGATTCTTTTTCTCTTTTCCATTCCCGTTTCCAATGCTTACAGGTAACCAAGCGGGAGTCCGACGACTTCATTCAGTATGCGGGTATTGTCAATCGTGCATGTGGCCGGTTCCAACTTGGCTCGTTGATCGAGGACCAATTCCGCTGCCTGGTCCCCAGGCCCCGTGCTACGCTGATCTCCAAACACGCCTCCTGACCAGGACCCAACGATCCAACTACACCAAGTGATCGCAGAATATCAACGTTTCGACAAATTGAAGCGCGACTCGGCCCTCAACCAGCAAGCCCACCGCAACAGCCGCGTGGCCAATG